CTCCAGGGAAGGTTAATAATAAACCCCATTTGTGTAGATGATTGTAAAACACAATGAAAGGCATTTTAGGCACAAGTGGCTTATTTGACACATATTTCTGGACTCAAAAATACAGTAGGTTTCTTTTATGTACAAGTGTAACACAGATTATGGTTTGGTTTTGAACATTCTGTGTGAGTTTACTGCCATCAGAAGTTCCTGGGGCACCCAGCTGGCTCAGATGGTGCAGCACGCAGCTCGAGACCTTGGGGTTGTGAGTTTGAGCCCCAAGTTGGGTGTAGAGATTACTTAAAAATAAAAATTAAAAAAAAAAAAAAAGTTCTTCAAACAACTGTCAACCAGTAGCCATCACATGGTCCAGCGCAGAATGATGCATAAAGGAAGTACAAAGTAAGTCCTACGTGAGAAGCTTCTGGCCCACGAGATAAAACAGAGACCCGTATGCCTATTGGTCTTAAAGGTGTGAGCCCAAGCCTTATTTTGCTTCCTGGAGCATAGTTAATCTTAAGCAAATGAACCCGAGTTTTCTTTGTCTACTCCTAACCCTTGTACTTTACCACTGACCTTATCTTTAATTAACTGCCTTTATATACACAATTCAAATACACCCCTATGGCTTATAGTCCTTCCTGCCTTCTAACGTAGTTCCCTCTCCCCCACTGGACCTTTTCAGCTCTGGGGGAAAAGGTTTCTTGGCGAATTTGGATCCCCAAGAGTGCTGGCACTAACCTAACACATAGTAAGCACTCCGAAGACGGCTGTCAAATGAACGCTTGACTCGGCCATGTCTGCCTGAGTCTATATAACCAGGCGGAGATCAGACAGCTGAGACAGTGACTAACACTGGCTTCCAGGGTGAGCTCACTGTTTGTTTGCTTGTGTTTTAGATTTTAGAGGTGCTGTGGGTTTCCTCTTAGAAACAAAAACATGACTTCCTCACTTTAAGGCACGGTTGCCTACATTTAAACATGTGAATCAGGACATGCCCTTTTCTACAGATGGTTTCTGCAAGTTTTCCTCTGTCAGAGCTGGACGAAACACCACATGTTTAACTGCTTCCTCTAGCATCGTAAGGATCACAAGGAAAAGCGAAAGTGTTGAAATTAACTTAATTAGCAGATACAAAGAAAGCGCTGTGTACAGTGTGGGTCCTGCTGGCTGAGCAGGGAGAAGGCTGCCCAGGGTCCCGCCTTATGAATACCGGGGTCAGTGCCGGACATTTGACTCCTTGGCTCTACAAAAGGAGGGATGGCAATAAGCAGAATTAAAGTTAAAGCACCATGAACCCCTTGTGATTAAGAGCTTACTCCAAGCAAATGAGTTTCCACAGAGAAAGGAAAAATCAAACAGTAGTTCGCAAAAGGATATGGCATCAGAAGGATCCTAGGAACAACCTAACCACCCCCATTCAACACATAGGGAGCTTCCTGGAAGCCGTGTTAAGAAAGGGCCAAGGCAGCCACATTCGTTGTTGGTGCAGGTGGGGGGCGAAATGGATTGAGGAACGGCATGTGCGGGCCCGTTCTAGCTAATCTGTGCCCTTTTTGCTCAGGCTCTTCCAACATTTTTCAGTGCATGACTTACATGTTATCTGGGTAACTGGGGGAGGGATATTCATTCCTTTAATAAAAATTGAATACCTACTATGTGTTAGGCAATCACTAAGCCCTGGAAATTCCAATACGAGTAAGAAAGTCCCTCCCTCAAACATATCACGGTGTCCCAAATATCAGAGATAGACACAGTCATGTCCTCATCCTGAAAGGAGCCCTCCATCAATCATCTGGGATGCTGCCGAGCCCAGTGTTGTTTGTAAAGTGTTTCTGGAACTCTAAGACACGAGACATGATGCAAATGGCCAAGTGCCTCAGACCCAAACACGCAGAGACTTCGACAATAATAACATGTGAGTGCCCGCTGGGTGCCGGGCCCCACCGTAAGCCCTTTACGTGCACCTTCTCACTTCATCCTCCCTCCAACCCAAACAGACAGGTGCTGTTATTCCCATTTTACAGATAAGGACACAGGCTCAGAGGTCCAGTGACTCCTACGGTAAAGTGATGGAGCCAGGATACGGGAGAGAAGGGGCAAGGTCAGGATAGAGAAGTCACAGGAAACGAAGGTTAAATCGAGAAGATGCGGGAACGAGGATTAGCAGTCGGTCTCCTGCCATAAGGGAAGACAGCTCCGCAAAGGACTGAAAGGGCTGGAGGGGGAAGGGGCCAATATGGGTCCCCAGAAGGTCCACTGTGTCAGATCCTGAACTCAGGAAAACTGGTACTGGACCCTGTCATGGCACAGGAGCTCTGTAAGGCCCATAGAGTGCGCAATGCCTCTCAATGTGGAAACTGAGGCCAGATAGGAGAAATGGCTCCAAAAGGTCAGACAGAAGAGAGCACAAGTCTCCCTACACCCAGACTACTGTTTCAGCTGCCTAGCAGCCACGCATCCTCCTGCTAACAGGACCCTAATTTTCCTCTCTGGAACCCCCAGCCGTACCTCGTGTCTCACCGAGGCTCCTGCTGCGGCTGCCATCGCACAGATCCCACAGACTGGGCAGGGGGGAGGTGGGGGGCTTAAACAACAAACGTTTCTTTCTCATAGTTCTGGGAGCTGCAAGTCCACGACCAAGGCAGCAGCAGATCTCGCGTCTGGTGACAACCTGCTTCCCGGCCTGCAGTGCCACCCTCTCACGGTGTCCTCACAAGGGGAAGGGGCCTGAACTCTTCTGTGTCTCTTCTTCTAACGGCGCTATCTTCTTCACCCCCGAAGGCCTCATCCCCAAATACCATCCCACCGGGGATGAGGGCTTTAAGGTCTGAATTTTACGGGGACCAAAGCATACGGTTCATAATAACCCCCATCTCCAGACTAAGCAAGGGTGAAGGTTACACGCCAGACCACACAACCATCCAGCATGAATCAAAGGCTTTTCCGCCTTTAGAGCTGGCGGCCGTGGGGCTTCCCCAGCCATCACCGGCAGGAAGAAAGCTGGTGTGCATCCTCCGAAAGGAGCAGGAATCAGAGGGGAGGGAAACTAGGTCCAAGGGATGTGGTTTCAGCCTGTATGTCGCGCTGTGCTTGGCCTTTCATCAGTCACGGCTCCTTTTTTGTTTTTGTTTTGTTTTTCACCTCTGTCCTAACGGCAGGGATACCTCCCGGCTGCTGAGCGGCCCAGAGGAGGGCCCTGCGCACCGCCTCCACCGGCGCCCGGCGCCCGGCCAGCGCTCACATCGGAGCCGCTACTAGGTTGGCTACACCTGCAGCCGGCTTTTCTGTCACTGGCCACAGCAGAGTCTGAACAAAGCAGTGGCCTGTTACCGCTACCACACCACGGACTCACAAAATCGTATGTTTGGCGGACTTCTCCTGAGCAGGTCTGCGTGCTCAAGGGGACGTTTCACCTAGACACCGGTCTCCACGACCCAGGCCCAGGCGGGCACGCGGCTCTCCGGCCGCCTCGGGTCACCACAGTGCCACCCCCCGCCCCAGGGCCCCTCCTGACCGCCCCCTCCTCGCCTGACGTCCTGAGAACGCGCGGCTGGCGGGCAGGTCCTGGGGAAGGCGGGCCGGAGTCTGAGGTACCACCGGCCGGGTCCTAAAGAGCGACGGGCCGGGTCCTGGGGGGCTGCAGGCAGGTCCTCAGGGGCGGCGGGCGGGAGCCTGAGGTACGACGGGCTGGGTCCTAAAGAGCGAGGGACCGGGTCCTGGGGAGCGCCGGGGGTCTCGGGGAGCGGCGGTGGGGGTGGGGGTCCTGGGGGCGACTGAGGTCTGCGGGTCTGCGCGGTTCGCTCCCAGGAGCGCGCAGAAACCTCGTCGCACCGGACAGCCGCCTCACCTACTCCACCGCGACCCCGGAAGTGGGTGGGCGCGCGACCCCCAGGCGGGCCTGTGATGCGGTGCGCCGCAGCCAATCGCGTGCGCCCGGCCTTGCGTCACGGCGAGGCCGGCCAATGGGCGCGGGCCTGACTGCCGCTTCCTGCCCGCC